ATACAATAGACGTGAAAAAATAACAGACGACTCTTATATATATATATATATATATATATATATTCTTATGAAAACTAAATTTGATATGCATACAATAGCGTTATTTTTATTTAACATACGAACACATAATCACACAATGTCGACACACATATATATATACACTTACATATATATTTATATATATTTATATAATATAAATATGTATATACATATATATATATACACGTGTAGAGGATACACATGTACATTATCGAACAAATAAATATACACTATGCCTTTCTCTCTACATACGTGAGATTATATTAAAAATACACATAAAAACATATTGTGACCTATAATTTTTCGATATTATATATACATATATACGCGTATAAAAGCGTGCGTTCATTATAACGGAGTTAATAAGCTTGTACGTGAGAGCATGCATTTTATAACTCGTTGTAAAATATATATAAAAGGAAAAGAAATTAAACGAACGTAATTGAAAAAAAAAAAAGAAAAAAAATAGAAAAATGGAATAACATTCGGTGAGTACGCACATTCAAAATACTCCGTATGAAATACACACGCATTAATCTATACGTTGTTTTTATCACAGCATTTTTCATACTAACACAAAAGAACAAAAAAGAACAAACTTCATATACGCTCACAAGTATACGTATGAGTGTGCGAAAAAACGCACACGTGGAATACACTAATTGTGGCCTTATCCGCACGAATACATAGAGAGTAACTAACGTTTTACGATATGTAATATATTATGTATATCGTATCAAATGATACTTAATACGTATGAAAGGAAAATGCGTAATGTCAGACACAAAGATGAAAAATGAAAAAAAATAAAAAAATAAAAAAATAAAAAAGAAAAATATCCTGACGAATAAGTTACACTCGTCATATGTTCTTACGGATCGACTCACATACTAATCGCCTTAATTAGTAAAACAGATTATAAAAAGAGATTATTCTATATTCAGCGTATGGCATACACTGTTACATTGTAAAATTGATCAAATAAATGTAATTATTTACAAATGAAAAACTCGGATTTCCTAAACGAGTTTACGTTCCATGGATTTTTAAAGATCAACAACGAGAAAATTATTTCGATTAATTTCGGTAAGTTAATATATGTATTTAATTTTATTATCATTGAGAAAGGTTTGATCTATGAAAATGACACGCATGTGCGTGTGTGTGTGCGTGTGCGACGTTGTTATTTTGAATATAAAAATTATTATTTGGATCAGTATAATATCGATGATAAATTCTCAATAATTTTATGTTCATTTATCAAATAAAATTATGTATTATCAACGTACGATAATCATAAGATTTAAATCTGAACTATAATATCATATATCTGTGAATACGCCGATTAGTTCAATCTGATTCTTACTAGATGGCAGGACGTTAAAAACGTTGGGCGCTAAAAAATAAAAACAAATATATTAATGATTTAAATGAAATCATCGAATAAAATTACCTTTCTAAATGAAATCTTTCAATAAGCACATATCTTTCTTTTTAAATTTTTACTAATGATAACAATATCGCATGAATAATAATGCAAACGTATCACAATGATTTATTTATAAAGAACAGTACAAAGTGATTTACAAATGAATAGAAACAATATCAAACGAATTAAAAAGAAAAATAAAATATATATATATATATTAATTGATGCATGGCGGGAATGAAATAATTACAAATCATAAATGTAAAAATGTAAAAATAATTGCGGACTATTTTTATGAAGAAGAATATAGATGATAAAAATGAAATCTATCGATTAAAATAAAAAAAGTGGATATCGAGATTTGCAGATGCACGTTGACTATGCAACGTCCCACGTGCGAAAAAAGAAGCGAACAAATGAAGCAGTGCTTGGGGTAAAGCGAGGTCGATGGAAAGTGGCATAATCGCGGATGTGGATTGGCTCAAGGAGAGCACAGGAGGAGATCCTTTACCTTACTTATGTAACGAGCGAGCGCGACCGTGGTGTCTCGTGTCTTCGACCGCATCTCTTCAAGAGGAAGAGAGTATGCAAGAGTGAAAGAAAGGAAGATAGATAGAGAAAGAGAGAGAGAAAGAGAGAGGGAGAGAGAGAGAAAGAGATGTACTCCTTCTCCTTTATACTCCTTCACCCTCCCATCCCCACCTCCAATCACCGCACTGTCCCTGAAAATCCCACTGCTGCTTCTAACTTTTTCTCCCCACCATTTGCCAATGCAAATCGCTTCTCGTATATTTCTACCTCCCTTTTCCTCTTCTCTTTCGTTTCTTCCTACATTCGACGTACCAATTAATTAAATGTACTCGAACGTTTTCGAGCAATCTTCCATCGATCGTTACAGAGGTAAGATCTCTTTATCTTTGTTTCCCTTTCAATTTTGATTCTTTATGAATTATTACAAGAAGTTCGATATATTGTTAAAAATGTTCGAAAATATTCGAAATAATATTAAAATATTCTGTTTAAATGACATAAAAAATGTTTATACAAAAATATAAAGATAAGGAAAGATACATTATCGTGATAGAGATACATATATTCGATCGATATTGGATTTGAAGGGGATATTCGTATTTTTTTTGGGCCTTGCGTAAAATGAAAATCATTTTCAACAAATAAAACTTATCGAAGAGATTTCTCTTCGTTAGCCTAGTCCTCATGATGAACGGATACGAGTGAGCGCGTTTATATCATGCATTCCGCGTAGGCGCGTGCCGAGGCGAGAAAAGCGATTTCCTTGCGCGCTATCGCGAGAGTGAATATACTGTAATTACATGTTACGTCTCTTGTAAGAGTACAAAATCAATGCCAGGTTCAATGTCGAACGGTTTCTCGAAACGTCGACTAAGGAAATTCTTTCTTCAATGAAGAAATAATGTCTATTTGTATCTTTACTTTTCGTTTCTGCTTTTTCATTTCCTATGTTCTTCCTTTAGTTTTTCCCCTTTTTATCTTTTCCTTGGCTTTGTAATAAATCGATTACGTTGATTGACAAAATTACGTTGATTACGGTGATAATCGAAAGTCTATTGTGATTATTAATTTATTTAAAGTGAACAGTTATATTATAATGAGCTTTCTTATTCATATATATATATATATAATAACTTAGTTTATAATAAGTTTAATTTCTAGATAATAAAAAAGAGAAATTAGTAAGACTTTTATATAAAAATGATCGAAATGTGTTAATGAATGCTGTAATACTTTTAATACCATTTTTAATTAATAATCATAATACCATTTAAAATATTTTTTTTTTTTCTATAATTTTCACGCGTCACTTTATTTATATTAATGATTAATCTTATTTCAATAATACATGAATTTATTACAAATCTTTTTATAACATCCTTTTAAATGCCAAAGCTCGATTATGTTCTTTTATAGGATAATACGATCCTTTCTTTAAGATTACCACGCGTGTAGATCAGACAAGGACGGACGGTAAATATCTGAATCTACCATGAAAGAATTGTGGCCTTGGCTACGGATTTCAAACATTTTTTTAGAGCCTCCTACGATTTAACAGACGTAACGTTACATCCTCGATAGTCCGGTTTATAATCTTCGAGGGTCCTACTTTGAACCATCTGACTCGTTTTATTTTCTTTTCTTTTTCTGTTTTCTTTTTTCTTTCCTTTTTCTCTTTCAAAGGTTCCTCTCATCGTTCCTCTTACCCTGACAAATCTCTTATAGTCGGATTACGAATCCTTTTCGTCAACTTCGAACGCACAGATCATAAGAAATTTTGTTCACTTTTTTATTTTGTCGATGTTGTTTAGATTTATGTAACCTTTCAGATATGTAATATATATAAATTTTGTAATAGTAATCAATTTTGAAAGATAGAATGAATTAAATAAATTATAAAAAAAAAAAAGTAATAAATGATAATTTATTAACCGTAGAAAAAAAAATAATAAATGATAATTTTTTAAGATGTTCCAATAACGATCGATCGAAGAATGATTTCGACACCGAAAATAAGGTTCTTCATTGTCAGAGGTCGTCCGTCGGTTCAACGTTCGGGCCGTTTACCTGTAACCGACCTCGAATCTTTGGCCAATGACATTGCGGAAAGTAATATTAACATTTTGTACGAGTCGTCCACGAAAGATAAAAGCTGTAAGCATGATCTTACGTACATACGTACATACATATATTTACGTACATACATACATACGTAGGAAAACGTCAATGCGAAAGTGCTTTTTAAAAAATATTTTTCATATAATACTTAGTTATCTAGTTTAAAGAAATCGTTATGATGAAAACATGTTCGAAAAAAACAAACAAGTAGTAGTTGTTTGCCCTTTGAATATTGAAACAAATAAGAGACAGAGATAGAGACAGAGACAAAGAGAGAAGGAGGGAGAGAGAAAGAGAGAGGAAGAAAAATAAGAAACTATGTAACACATAAAAAGAAAGAAAAAAGAAGAGACATAAACTTCGAATGCTTCTTGAAAAGGGCTGATTATTTATGCTACGACCTTCGACGTGGACAGGTGCGATACGGCTGGCTCGTACGTAATTCCGTCGCTTGTAAACATTTTATAACGCTATAAATATTAACCGCGGTACCCGTATTACTGTACACATTTGCGTATGTACGTATCTTTTATATAACGAGACATTTGTCGATGCGAATCTCGAGCGTTTTCGAATGGAGGAAGTTCGTTGGATCCAGTTATATCTCGTTGGACCCTGATATAAATCGAAAGGTTTTAATAATAAAAATTGATAAGAGGATTCTACTTAATTATCGAAGTAAACGTAAAAATAAGGATATTAATTATTTATTGCAATAAGACGTTAAAAAGAATAGAAAAAGAAAGAGAGCATCGAATCGAAATAAACATTTTAAATATAAACTTTTATTTTCTTAGAATAAAATTGTGAAAGCCTTTCTTCTTTTTCTTTTTCTTTTTTTTTTTTTTTTGATTCTTTTTTCTTTTGTTTTCTCAAAATTTAGACGAGCGTGCAAGCAAAGAACGATAAGTTAGACGAGGAATAAGAAGAAGAAGGATCGAAAGGAAAAGGGAGACGAATAGACGAACGTGGGTAGAAGAAGAGAAGAGAAGAAAGAGGAGGTGTAGTAGAAGGTGGCAATAGCAACGACAGTAGTGGGGATGGAGGGAGGTGGCAGGAAGAAGGACGAAGGCAAGGAGAGGAAGGAGGAGAGGAAAGGGAGACGACCGGCAAGTCGAAAGAAGACACAAGTTCATATCCAAGCGAGATGTGGGACGATGTCCCGGAGTAACCTCCATCAAGGATGGACTTCCATCCAGCGTCGCGACCAGGACGTAACTATACATCCGCACCTTTCCTCTCACCGGTTATGCGAGCCCGGATAGTCTTCCTGTAGCGAGCGTCGGCCCCGATCAACGATCGACTCGGTTTGACTTCATCGCGGAAAAGCGTACGACGTTTATTCGACTATCACTATTTGTTCTTGGTCGATAGGTACGTAAGTAAATACGTACGTACATACGTACTTATCATCATAATAAAGATGACAGCCAGTTTTGATATTTTCACTCTCTTCTTGAAGAATTTAATGTTTTGTATACATAACTATTTTGAGATCTTAGAAGAGTATTGGTAAATCATAGATAATCGATCTTTTCCTTATTGCCGAATATAAACATGGTATAGTAAAAGATAGATATAATTTATGTATCTTGGCAACTCTCCCAGAGCTAAATGTCTGAAAATAGTTCTGGATGTCTAAAAAGGTTCATGGTTTTTGGCGAGCCTGTCTAGCTAGCTAGCTAATGAAATTCCAAGAGATATGATTACTCAATGATTCGAAAGAAAGTGTTTTGACAAAACGGAATCATCGGATGAGTCAGTCGTCGGATAAATAAATCAGTTTAGCATAGAAATTTGTTGTCCGAAATGTTCGAAAATGGAGATGGATGGAAAGCAAAACCTTTCGTTTTCAAATATGAACGAAAGATCGGCGCGACCTCTTTCGACGAAACGATTCGTAGATCTTATACTAGATCCATTGCATTCGAGGCGACGTTGCAAGTCGAGAAAGTTCGCGGCTTGGTCCACGCATACTTGTTACATGCTGCGTTGGCTCCTGTGCCTGCACCACGTCACACGACTTCGCCTTAACCCAGTGCCAGTGGCAGTTGCCCATGGAACGGCTCCGCTTTTTGGGTCTAGGTCTGAGGAGGGCGTTCACCCTGCCTGCCGTTGTTAACACACTTAGCATACCGTAGAACGTACGTGGCGGTTGAACCGAGCGCGACCTCTCTTCGTATAATCTAACGTCAACGATTCCACCTTGCACCTTTGAAAGAATGAAAAGAAATAAAGAGAGAGAAAGGAAAACAAAACAAACCAAACGGTTCCTTAATCAGAAGCGAGCGAACAAGCGTGTCCGCAAGCTTCACTTTTTTCAAACACTTCGACGAATTTTCTTTCTAATTTAATTAAATTTCAAAATATTTACAAGAAGTGAACGCATAGCTATAGTAATGCATAGCTAAGTGTAGGAATAAACGATCGAAGATAAAATAAAGCAAATCAAAGCAAAGCAAAGCAAACCAAAGTAAAGCAAAGCAAAGTAAAGCAAAGCAAACGGTTCCTCAATCAGCTACAGACTAGCGTTTCCGTAAGCTTCACTTATTCTAAACTTTGACGAATTTTCTTTGAATCTCTTCAAAAAAAGAGAGAGAGGAGAGAGAGATTTATTTTATTGATTTTATTGTCAACAAAGTCCACACTTGGCACGGCCTGGGTCAGCGGCTATCAAAGCTCTAGACTTATAATTTAATATTATGTTTTGCAAATTCAATGAACGATAGCTAGTTTTGGAATAACTAACAAACTTATCTAATATATCTTATTTAATTAACCAGCTTATCTTAATAATATTGAGACGAATACAGGATAGATAAAGGACCTAAGAATATTAGAATTTGCAGAACTAATAGAAGATTTAAGAAGCAATTAAAATAAAGATATATAATTTTATTTCATTGACTTACATAAATGATTATTATCGACTTCTTACATACAATACTTTACTTTTAATCATACGATAACCTCCATGAGCTGATAAATTCTTTATAACGATAAATAATAATCATTATACATTAATTCGTTTAATAATTAACAAATAATAAGAGAGGCAAAACTTCTTGAGGACTGACTACTTGATTTACTTTTGCTATTGATACAAAATTAAATTTCAATTATTGAACCGCAAGGCTGTCTCGCTCCTTCAACGAGACGATACCTCATCCCACCCAGGTTCCTAGCTAGGTCACCAGTCAATGACTTATCAATGATTCAGAAAAATTACCAAGAACATTGGATCAACGCTTTACATAAACATAAAAATTTTATTTGTACAATTCGATCACACCATACTCTTGGAAACGCTCGAGGAATCAATTTAAAAGGTTAATGTCGAAAAAAGGGATTTCAAATTATTTTCTTGTTACAGTATTTAAATTTGTTAATGTTTTCAAATGACGAACATAGCTATGTAGAAATACAGAACCGAGTGTAATAGAGTGCGCGATCGCTTTCCGCCTTTCTCTCCGTTCTTGTTCCTAATCCAAAGAAAAAAAAAAAATGGCACGAGTTCCGTGATCGAGTACAGGCGGATCTTAGAAAAGAAATGAAAAATACTTATGTTAGTTGGATTCTCAAGGTATATATATATATATAAATATATATATATATATATCTCTCTCTCTTCGACTATTATTGAACATCGTCTGAGTTATCGCACGATCGCATAATCGAGGGTTATTCGAAGGCGACAACGACGAGATCGTTGCGGAAAATTAGCATTTTGATTGGCAACGTGCGGGAAGAACGTTCTCTGTCGTGCGGCGCCGAGAGAGGAACGTTCTTTCGGGTCTAGGTCTCTCAAGGGCATTCACCCTGCTCACGTTGGTAACACACTTAGCAACGTAGCGCGTATGCGAATCGAGTTTGCCTGTTCGCTCGCGGAATATTTTCCGTCTTCGTCAAACCATTGCGATTTTTTTCATTAAATCTTTTATACAAAACTATCATTGATCCTTCCCATTTATCCTCGAAGCGTAAATTTTCACCGTTCAAACGAAATTCACTCTCCTCCCTCTTAAAGTACAGTTATACAGACGTACTTTCGTTGACGTCGAGCGGAAAAGTTTCCTAAATGCAATCAGGATAAAATGATGACGTTGGTTACCGTTAACCTTCAAAGAAAAATATTATTTACCTATATAAAAACAAGTCAAATCGAAATATATGAATAATAAAATGATAAATACTTTTTCGACTTTTTATATATCCATCTAGATATATTTTATTAGCTATATATAAATATATCCAGATTTTTCTTTTATCTCTCCTTTATAGACATGCCAATGAAAATCTTTTTATGTAAAAAGAGAAGGAGGAGGATGAATACAATGAGACGAATCGGTCAGGAGACACGCCCGTTGTTGCATCGACGTGTCTTATCGAACGCATAGAGTCATAGGACTCGTATAGAAATAAACTTGTAAAATGCACATTGCGACCGTCACCAAGAGAATAAGAAGGAGAAGAAGGAGGAGGAAGAAAAAGAACGGGAGGAGGAGGAGGAGGAGGAGCAGGAGGAGGAGAAGGAGGAGGAGGAGGAGGAGGAGGAGGAAGTCGGCTCGAGTAGGCCCTACTCTCTCGTCGCGTATGCGTGTCGCATATAGAGGCTGCGCTTCTCGCACAAGCACACTGAGCGCGCTCACGAACGCTCAGCCGTTCAGGAACTGCGATGCGTGACCTAGTGCCGTTGCAGCGTTCTACCTTCAAACTAGGTCTTCCTCGTTCCCAACTAAGTCCGCGGGGAAAAAGCGCATAGAATGCTCGCGAGAGTGCATCGAGCAACCAGCAATGACCTTCTACGATCGAATTTATCTTGATTAAGCTTCTTTGCTAAGCTTTCGTTACGAGCGTTTAGCTTTGTCATCGATAAAAACGAAATTAACCCTTATCGTTCCGATAATACCGACGAACTGCATTTCTTTTTCTTTTTATTTCTTTTTTATTTTCAATACTTGCATTATAGGTTTACGTAATATTTACAAAGATTTTTACTAATAGAAAATTTTATTATCAAAAAAAAAAAAAAAAAAAAAAAAAAGAAAATAGAAAGAAAAATAAAGAATTATATAGCGTTTTTCATTAGGAAAAGGTTAAAATTCATAAAATTTCTTTGAAAGTTGTCCAACGAACGCGTTATTATGATATTTTTAAATATCGATATTCGAAGATTAAAAACGAGACATAGAAATTACTTGTAAATCTTTCTTTCCTTATCTTTTGATGACGATAGCCGTGGAAAACAAAAATTTGAATAATCCATGCGAAGCATCCGAAATTTGGCATTACACAATTCGTAATTCATAAGTCGTAAGTCGTAAGCTTAGGCCACTGAACGTCCGACATTCGTCGGCAGAGCAAAGAAACAATCCGTTAGAAACGGATTTGTTTTCGGTCACGATAATACGTGCGAGCTCACGAACCTACGTAGGTAGATACCTACGTAGAGCGAAACGGCGAGGGTCAATGCCACCTATACGGAGCAGTATACCTCGCCGACTTTCCGTATACGTTCGAAGCATCGCCTGAGATTCGTGCACCTAACAGGTGCCGATAAAAACGAATGTGTCACGAGAGTTTCATTTTCAAAGCGGAATCGATCGATCGATCGATGTCTCCTCAATGATTCCTGATCGCCTTGATACGATTTATCGATGAAATCTTCCTTCGTTTCATATTCGAGGAAAAAAAATAAAACGAGACCAAAGAAAATAAAAAAAAAAACAACACAAAACATAAAAATATAAAACGAGACAAGAAGACGAAAGAAATCAAAGTTTCGATAGAAAAATAATTGATCTTTTTTCTTTTCAGATTTTTCTTCAAACTCAGATATTTCAATGAACGATATCATATATCTGGAGCAAAGATATTGTAAGAAAGAAAAAGAGAGAGAGAGAGAGAGAGAGAGAGAGAGAGAGAGAGAGATAAGAAAACGAGAAGATTTGATTATTAATACGTGTCTCAAATAGAAATCAAAATGAAATTAAAAATAAAATATGATATATCAGAGAGGAGGTCGATTTTGTCGTCGTCCTCGGGAGTCGATCGAAGATTCGCACGTGAACGATTTGCCGTTCGCCGTGGAGAAGAAGGCGGGGGAGGAAGAGGGGAAGGAAGGCCTCGAGGAAGCAGAGCGGTCATCGACCCCTGAAAATACTCTTACGCATTATGTGCCACTTCACTTCCGAGCGAGCGCTCTCTTGCGCTGCTCGGCTCCAAGCAAACCGCCGAGTTCTCGTCGCCTTCGTTGTGTCTTCGTCGTTACGTTACGGCTCACCATAGAATTCCATGAGAGTTCTATCTCTTTTTCTCTTTCTCTTTTTCTTTCTCTTTTTCTTTTTCTTTCTCTTTTTCCTTTTCTTTCTCTT